TTTTACAACGGATCCAAAATCGGTCTCTAAAGTGATGGGCAGTTTTAAATTATTAGAGAGGTTAGGTAAATGGGAACCATAACAAATTCAGATTTGACCAGCAGTTCAAGTACAGTAATACGACTATCCATGGAACCGACCACAGGGAACCTGATTCCAATCAGGATATTCCCTCTCTGGGTTTCACCCGCATTTCCATGCTCCAACTGGCTGTGTGCCGGTGTGGCAAAATAGCAAATAAGTCACCACCTGTTTGACAACCATTTTTATGTAAAGGCTATTTGATGGGCGATGTATCTTCAGCGCTTTCCATCACGCGGATCATTAAAGTATAGCATTATTTGTGTTAAATTCCAGGGAGTCAAAGGCAGTATACTTTGAATGCGCATAATATTTTATCTTGATTGCTGTAATCCGGTACCTCCAGAGATCAGAGTAGTTGAGGCCAACAACGAAATAATGAAAAGTAAAAAGTTATTATGAATTATAAATATAATAAAGTCTACGATCTTTTGCTGTTATACTAATCACAATTTGACGGAAAATCACAGCGAACAACGACGACCGTGCAGAAATGTCAGTTTGCAAAGCCAAGGAATTATCCGAAACAATGCACTGATGGCAAAAGAAATGGTTTGGCTTAAACATTAGCGCAGGAGTGGTAGGAATAAGATGGTATGTAAATATATACTAAGGGGTTCATAAATGTGTAAATAAACTAATATTATTAAAACAAGTGGGAATATTGCAACTTTTGGCTGTATCTAGAATCTTTCTATCACTAATCCTCTAGAGTCACCTTTTGACTACGTATTGGCAAAACAATGGAAATAGTCAGCAGGACAATGAGTGTCCATTTAAATTGCGGTTTATGATTTTTATTAAAAGTTTATTCCATAGCGACACATATCGTATTGATAAAACTTTTTGCCAGGGCTTGGTACGCTACTCTTGACTATGCAGTATGCGCTCGTTGTTTCTTATTTCGTAGCACTTAGGAGTATGAAACTTGCGTTATGGTTGAGCTGTAAAGCTTAAATTTAATAATAAGTGGTAGAGAATGTACAGATTAAGCTCGAGTCTGCGCAGGTAAAGCGGCTCCAATTTCAGGGCAGCGTAATGCTCACAGTGTCATAATGATAGACGTGTTCAAAAATCTTATTGTGTATGACTGTTGGCTGTTTCCCAGTGCTTTGATATCCACTTTTCTCAGATTTTCGTACACAATTCTATAGTACTCAAGCTTTGGCCTAACATGCAGTTTAACTGCGTGAAACCTAGTATCCTTCATGCTAAGAGTTCGGCTTATGCACTCAACTGTTTTTCTGACAGAAGCCAGCAAGAATGTGACGCGTGCTAGAAAAGTAAATGAAGTTGCATGTGTAAGTTTAAGGTATTGGACTAGGTTACATACAGGAATAGGAGTGGCTTTTGGGGTTAGGATGTTTAGTGAAATGTCGCAGCTGTAGCACAGTAAATTACGTATGTCAGTGGCGAAGTACAATTTCCAGAAGTTATGCCAGGGCTGTAGTGCTGACAAGTCTGCGTAAATACAGGCTAACTTAGGATATTCTTGCCATGTGGCGGAACAATACACAATTTTAACATTATCTGCGAAGTGGAATGACTTCTCGAACACAATTTTATCAAGGAGTTTGTTGAACTAGATTAAGAATATAAGCAGACCCAGCATGCTTCCTTGATCCAATCCACTAGTTATCGAAGTGCCCTTAAATGCACAATTATCAATTCTAACTACTTGCTTTCAACCCTCGAGGTAGGAAGACAAGCACTTTTGCGGCAAATCTGTGATACCATAAGACACAAGCTTCTGCAGCAATAAGTTGTGTGGGACACGGTCAAAGGTATTTTTGATATCAAGGAATATTACAACGAAAACATTTCCGGCGTCTTGCTCAAGTTAAATACACACGATAATCTAACTGACAGGTGGTGCATGGGCCTACCTTTAAAAATGTGCTGATGTTTACTGATAAAGCTCATAGAACTCAAATATTTTATTATGGTTTCTTTAACTAATCTCTTCAATATTCTGGAGATAATGGAATTATGGTGGATTAGGCAGTAATCTTTTACGTCTCACACAGAACTGCTTTTGTTTCGGAGTAGTTTAACCCATTGTTTTCAGTGCATAGGATAATTTCCTTTGATCATGGAAAGCGTAGATACATTAAGCGGAAATAAGGGATGTCTAGGCCTCCGTACATGAGTAGAAATGTCGGTATGTTGTTAGGGGCTGGATATCATAACGGCCGAACTACTCTGATTTTGAGACATATAACAGGTTTAAATGCAGCACTTTTGAGTGTACTGCTGCCTTTGTTGTACTAATAGCTTTATTACATACCTAGGAATTAGGCGGCTCGCTTGTTCTAATGTTGCTCTCGACTCTTTGAATCAACACACACATCCGCTTTTGCGTCGCGGACGCGACTCGTTCATCGTGGCATCATTGCGCTCTGCACGCCTATATCCTTATATGCCTGGTGCCTTAATTGTAGCCATAGCCAGCCTATCACCATTTTAATTGACTTTTCCTAATTTATTTCTGTGTGTTCTTCCCTTCACCTACGGTTGACCGTTTATTTGCTTATCCGACAGATAGCATACAGCTACCGCGCTATACTTTGAGTGTGGTATAGTGAGTCTGTGTAGTTCGCCTAAACCAGTTCAAATGACTGTAACAACGGGTTCTAGAAATAAGAAAGGCATCACTATTACGTCATTACGTGGCACCGATGTTTCTGTACCGTGCAAAGTGCGCTAGTCGCACACGGGCTAGGGTCGGTTGGTGGCCGAATGGTCTGCGCACCTGGTTTGCAACCATAAGGTTCCCGGTTCGAATCCGCGTAGGGGTGGGCGTCCTTGTGGCATACTCAGCCTGCGCGCGACTGATGGTGGTTGCGCGGCAGCGAAGAGCCGTTACGTCGTACAGCTGACACATTATTATTATTAAGCGTGCTAGGCGTACTAGAATATCAACCTAACCTACGCCAGTATGAACCGGTGATCTTCGCAGTACATGAAAGTTGCATAGTTTTTCCTGCCTTGTATCGAGTTCCCGAGAAACTGTTGTTAGTGTTTCTATATCTGTACATGGACATCTCAAATAGAAGCATTTCGGGATAGTTGCCATGACAAAGTAGCTATGAGCGAGTTTTGCTGAACGCCGATGTTTTCAACGATTCCAAAGACTCTGAAAACCTAGACGCATCTCTGGAATTTAGACTACATGCTTCATAATAAGCGGCATAGTTAGTTATTGGAATAGACCACCTGAACGAATGTACGTGGCACGATGGACAATAAGTTCAAGCGATCTGATTCAATCCCTCTGCCAGTGCGTACTTCGTTTTAAATGCCATCATCCTTGTTTATACGTCCCTTGTAAAGAGTTTAAATTGTCTAGCTACCACATTTCCTCATATAATTCACATCAGCGATGTTTTGCGGAGTGTAAATCTCTTTCTCTACGCTGTCCACGTTCGTTATCGTTCACCGTGGATGCAACTGAATTCACAAGTCACTTCTAACAGCCTACGCTGCAATGAATGTTACACATCAGGTGTCCTACTCCACATGTACTTGGCGTTTGTGTCCCCACCAGGTTAATCTTTGGTTGGGATAGTGCTGAATCAATGGCATATCTGCGTTTTATTTTCCCTACATGTCTTATACTTTGCCCAGTGGCCGAGTGGTCTGTGCGTTCGGTTTGCAATCATAAGATCACCGGCCCGAATCCGCCTAGAGGTGGGCGTCCTCGCGGCATACTCAGCCCACATGCGACTGTTGGTGGTCGCGCGGCAGCGAAGTGCCGTTACGGCGTACAGCTAACACATTACATTAGTTACTGGTCTTACACAAATCTGCTCAACTTTTGCATTCTTTCTACTTTATAATATTTGTTCTTGGTTTACGCTGTTTTTCTATATCTTATCCAAACACATTCCTCGATGCCACTTAAATACCAGGCGATTATCATACTTGAAAGTCAGTTTGACTGATTGCTTAAGGTCAGGCTTCTCTTAGACCTCTGATTAGTATTATATGAGCACTCTTTTTAATATTTTACTGTTGTGCATTATCTAGGTCGGTTTATCTCGCGCGGCCCCATCAAGCTTACATATAGGATGCAGCCACTTTTAAACACATTTGGACATCACCAGCAGTACCACTCACTAGTGATCAGAAGAAATTGCTGGAAGCAGCTAAGGCTGAGTATGTCACATTAGTAAAGAAGGTTGATTCTCATGTCCAACGGTGTATGCTTCGTTTCGATTATCTTACGAAAATATTCGACAGCAGTTTAAGGGCTGTCAGTATCTTTTGAACGCACACCATTCGGAGTCAAACGACTTAATCATACGCATCAAAACCATTGTTACCAACACCTATTCAACACACAAGTGTAGTTTTATGTTTACTGCGGGAGCGATTCTCGGGGCAAAGTAGAACACAATTGGGGCGATTAAGCTAGAGAATTCTGCTTTACAGCCTTATATTCATATGTCCAAAACTTGAGTTTGGCTAAACAGTAACGGAGTGCACTGTTTCGCGCGCCTCAACAATCCACGGAGCTTTTTAAGTACATTTTGCTCCCCTAAATCACTCGTTACTGGTTTGTTTTGTTCCGTCCAAAAGAAAACTACGCTCTATGCTTGGCTAGGATCAATGCATGCATTAACACTCAAGGCTAATCATTTAGTACTCATTCAGGAATGTAACCACCTGGTTAGGCAGATCAATGCTTACGTAATGGAAGATGAGGTCACGAACTGCGAAGCGATTTCTCGGGCGTTCTTGCTAGTTCACCATTTTAACATCGACGCCACATCACTTCCCCCATGAAGAATGCAGCCTACAATATTCCCGTCTCTTCAGCATTAAGGTCAGTTGTGAAACGTAACCTAACACATCGACAAGTGTAAAACCATGTTTGGCCACTTGTGCGTTCGCAGTTTCTGGTAAAATAACCGTATGAACAATAAGCGCATTCGCCGCCTTTTGATGGCACAGGAAGAGAAAGTTAACGGTTCACACAGTTGATTTACGCACCAGGCTCCGATGAACCGGCCACGTGTTACACATGCCAGTCCAGCGACTTCCTCGGCATGCGTTGTTTTCACGAATGTGATCTGGACAGAAGACCAGATGGGAAAATCAGCCGAGGCTTTGAACAAGAAGAAGGAGACCTCTCACCTGGAACATTGCCTTGGTTCAAACATTCCGACCCCCGGTTTGGAGTTCTAACTCAACGAAGCTGTCTAACATTAAGCTCTGAGTGGGGTGGACAACAAAGATCTCCATGGTAATTGTGTTATTATTTTCCTTATATTTCCTTCTCGCTTAGCTGTTTTTACCACCTTGATGTCAGTTACAATGTATAATACAAACGAGGAGCGATCACTTGTTTTTTGTTTATGACTAGCCAACTGAGACGTAGTATAGCGCAACAGCTGTGATGTTATGCGCCTTTGGTTAACTTGTCGGTTGATGACGCTTGTCGTAAACAATATAAGCACCATACCTCCGGCTTTTCGCTCATCGGTACCGTTTGTTCCAGTGAATTTATCTCAAGCTGTTTACTCTGTCAACTATCCATGTGAATACAGAGCCACTTTAAGAATGAGCATGTTGCCAATATTTGTATATTTAGTGACAAAAATCTAGCCAAGGAAACTTCAAAGCAGTTGGATTAGTAAAACCTGGTACCCAATCCAGCACTTATAAGTTAGGGTTTTTGAAGAGAAAAATCTCATCAAGTTAATCTGTTGTGTCATATAGAAAAGAAAACGCCCCTCTTTGGCTTTACAGCAGAAGATTTCCGTTCACTAGTTAAACTTTTTTCGGTTTTCTCTTTTCGCCACGTAGTATGATTCAGTACAGCTTGTGCTTATCTCCTGTTCTTTACAACTGTTTTTCCTAATGCAACATTAACACCACTAGCTGTATTCAATGGTCAATCATTTTTATTACCTGTTTCATTTCTTTAGGCACTTTTGATTTCTTTCAGCAATGTCATTATTCAGGCGCCAGGGCCTCTTCAGTTTTCGAACCGTTCCCCGTCCTTTTACTTCAGACGCTTCAGAGGATAGGCTTGGGGGCAAAAATTGGACGCTTCATCATGACGGGTTAGTCGGTCTTGTTGCTAATCTGTTTTAGACCCCAGGGTATTAACATTGAAAAAGCTTCCGTATTTTTGTTTCCCGGTCAAGGAACTGAGTTTGTTGGCATGGGTAAAGCTCTAATTGAAATTCCAAAAGTGAAGCACATGTTTCAATATGCCAACGAAACGCTCGGCACAAATTTATTGAGATACTGTTTGGAAGGGCCCCAAGCGAAATTACATGAAATCACACATAGTCATCCGGCTATCTACATTATCTCACTAGCTGCTATCGCCAAATTACAGGATAAGGATGATGAGGTCTTTCTGTGCCATTCATCTCATGTTTCAGTAGCTGGTACGAAATTGTGTGGCTGCAGCAGGTTTGAGTCATGGAGAACTTGCCGCACTCGTGTTCTCAGGTGTTATGACTTTTGAGCAAGGTTAGCGCTCTTTATTTCATGTCCGTAATTCTCTGTTACTCATTCTAGGACTGCAAGTGGCACAGGTACGAGCGGAAGCTTTACGTAGAGCGTCTGAAAGTCCTCGTGGTGCAATGTTATCAGTGTTCGTTAAACCCGACAGTCAATTGAAATTAGCCCTACAGGCCGCCATTAATCATTGTGAAACAGAACTAAAGATGACAAATCCGGAATGTCAAATTGCGAACTACCTGTATTCAGGTTGTAAAGTCATCGCCGGAAACGTTGAGGTAAGTTCTTTTTGTCGATATGCATTGGTTTATCTCGTTCTTTCTCCACTTATATTCCCATCATACTATCTGCTATGCTACGTTCTACATCTTTTGGCCTGTGCTGGATCTATACCAGTGAAATAATATACCATGTTTCAACAACGAGTTGTTTTGCCCTTGGACCTGTTTCCTTACAAACTTCGTCCATCGGGCTAGATGCCATCAGCATTAGTAGTTCAACTTACTATACCTCTTTTCCTTCATCATATTGCTAGAGAACCAGTTTGCAGTTCCGAGCTCAGGGTTGACAAACTCCTTAGGCTAGAGCGGGGACTCGGCTGAGCCTCTGCTTGACAGGTCTAAGAAGTGGACTTGTATCTTGCTTTAAACAGCTTATCAACCGTTGTTGTAACGCAGTGGATGCTGCTGCTTAAGTAATGAGTGTCCATAAGCAACTCTTCAAACAGGGAATCGTTTGTGACTGACTTATTTGCTCGGTTGTTGTAGGGGCGGGCTGACTGCTTCGCTGATTATTGCAGGTAAAACGGGATAGCATGTGATATTCCTCCAGGTACGTCGTTGTCATCCATATCACTGGAGACATGCCTTAGCTTGTTGCGTTTTGGTTTTATTCAACTCGCAATTCAAGAATGCATCGATTAAGCTAATGGTAATCTTGTTTCGTATCTTTTTCGCTGTTGAAGCCACTGCCCTCATAAGTTTAGTTTAATATAGTCTTTTAAGTTATTGATTCCAATAGTTCACAAGCCACATAGTCCGAAAAAGCACCAGACGCGTATCGCCCTATTGAGGCTCGTCAGTGATGCGCGTTCCCTCGGTCCCCTACTTGGGATCAAACCCATGACCGCTAGAGGCAGCTGCAAACTAGCCAGCAGCGTAAGCCACTGAGCGACGGAGGACGTTGGCTGAGCTACATCAGTTTACTATTCCTGATCTGTGCTAATCTGGTTACCGAATTGCGATGAGTTTAGCCTTAATAAACAACGATGAAAACAGAGATAGAGTGTGTGAGCTTGGAACGGCATCAAATGCACAGAAAGGAGCGTAAAAGTTGGTTGGAATGATCCAAAGTTGGAAATCTCTTACTGAATTCAAAAGCCCAAATGACTTCGCGACCACTCTGTCAGGAAGAGATTTCCGCGACATGTGTAATCGATCATACCGATTTTACTTAGTAAAATGGGATGCATCTGATAATCCGAATCGTCTATCTAATTAGTCAATAACTTTTGTCACATAGCTGTTAATCACGGATGTGTTGTTTTTTACAAATGGACGCAGTGTTTTTGAACACTGCACACCAGTGTAAAAAAATAGACGACTTGGGTGATTCAACTCTAACCAACCATCTCGTGCTGCATTAGAGGTTTGTTCCATACACCAAAAAATGAACACCAAACACTCGGGCCGCATTTGGTAAACATTGGTAGTCAAACCAGTTGATCGCATTATACGTTTAATCTGCTCTAGCTATATTTCTGATTCACGCGATCATAATGGTTGCACCTACTTGCAGTAGCTAGTAAGATTATATCTGATTGCAGAAGAGTAGTAGGGAGAGTTGAATGTTATAGGAAGAAATTCATCACATCTAGGCTCACTCAGACAGCTGTCACACGCGCGTACAGTGCTTTTCCGGGCGTGTGACAGCTGTCTGAGTGAGCCTAGATGTGATGAATTTCTTCCTATAACATTCAACTCTCCCTACTACTCTTCTGCAATCAGTACACAGACCAAACTGCTTATAATGCCATGAGTTAATTGGCGGCCTAAGTTGGTTAAGCTCGTCGCTTGGTGAGGGAGCTACCCTGTCCTCTGCACGGCAGTAACGTGTAAGTCAGTGGATAGTGAGCGGCGCTATATCGCATCGAGTAACTTATTCACGATGGTCGTTGCCGTCCCCCGTAGCTCAGTGGGCTCAACCACGGACTGGCAACAGTCGAGTTGCGTGTTCGAGCCCAACCAGGGCCCGATGAAATGCGCTCTGCTGACGATTCCCGAAAGGATGAAACGCGCGTACAGTGCTTTTCCGGGCGTTTGACGGCTGTCTGAGTGAGCCTAGATGTGATGAATTTCTTCCTATAAAATTATATCTCCCTGTCTCCATGACTGATGGATCGCTTAGCAGGCCAATTAAACACCACCAATTCGTGAAGCAGTCTATTCGGGGATATATATATCCCAAAAAGGATTTCTTTTGATGCAAGCAAACTCAAAATAAATGTTGATATAAGTGAGCCAGTAAAGCAATTCCAGCGGTTATTTGGTACTACTGAAGATTGGAGTGATACGGGCTTACGTTTGTAACAACTATTTTACACCTTGAGGATACGAACTCATGCCAAAGTGTACATAGCTACACCCTTGTCCGTTCAAGTCAAATCAAAGCATGATAGGCTTCGTGCATCTAAGTAGGCACATTTTAGTATGTGAACTCTCACCGTAAATGTCGAAATAAATAAGGTGAATGTATAAAAATATCTAGGGTGTCAAATGTCGAGGGTGATCGAATATTACTCACACAAACATCTATGCATCATACTGACGATTTTCCTCGGGCCAACCATTAATCGCAGCAATTCCAGTATAACGGAATTGTGGTAAACTGCAGTGCGAGCAATTGAAACTTATTTTAGAGCATATAGAAGTAATAGGTAGTGACTCCGGCGTATCACAATGTATCGGCTGGATATGTCCGTTTAGAAATTTGTATGAAAAACAAACCCAAGCCTTTACTTGTTTGCTGTCAATAAAATCTTTGGGCAATCCACTGCCTCCGGAAATAAGTTTCAAAAAGTGTACACACCATGTGTGTTCATTTTTACGTAGCCTAAGAAGCTCACAAGCGAACGGCAAAGCAGTGGTTACTGAATACTGAATATTGAGGAAATGCAGCGACTAGAAAGGCCTCTATGTAGCTACATCTAGTATCTTTTAGACAAACTTACCTATTATAATGGTAATTATTCTCGAAATAAGTCGGCAAAGTGCGAGTCCAGGAGTTTCTTTAACTCCGGCACTGACTTTGTTTCGACTATGTCTGCAGGTAGGTTGTAACAAATATTCACCAACTTCCGCTCGCAGCAAATTTAATGAGCGATCTGCTTCAAATCCGGTAGGACAACATTGTGCCCGTGTCCTCGTGTGTTGTTTGGTGTGCGCACATAAAGCAGCGGCCTCCACATGGGGTAATCACCCGGATGTAATCTCCGGTGCGTTGTGATGAGGTCACTCAGCCTTCGACGATAAGTCAGGGGGTACAACCCTAGTCTATTGCATGGGTCTTCGTATGGCACAACTCAAGTGAGGATGAGACTTGTGGCCACATGATTTACTCACTCAATCCTTTGTACGTCGCCCCGAGTGAGCGGACAGTAGGTTGGAGAGGAGAGGCGGGTACCAACCTCTTCGGACCAAGTGCAGAACCTGCGTTTGAGCGCCCAGAGCATATGAAGTTCGTGAGGCAGGATTCATGTAGTCACAAATTTGAACAGCCAGTCACGAGGTACTAACAACATTTTATGTCTAATGGCGCAAAACTTTGTAAAAGGTATCAGCGACATGAGTAGACCAGGATATATTGCTAGGAGTAAATACTTTCAGATATTTGACAAATGACATATCGGGTATGAATTGGTCACTCACTTCCAGTGAGGAGGTGGATTTTAAACTAACTTGAAGCTTATCGGCACTAAAACATTGAATGTTACACTGTAAGCTTTAGAAGAGTTCCGAAAGGGACACCGGTACGATAACTAAGGTGCCAACATTTCAAGCCCACTCTAAAGAGTGGAAGATGTCTCAAGAGTAGAAGCAAAGCATCAAAAACGACCTCATCATCATACCTTCAATAAAAAAAGTTGGATGATATGGTATGTTTTTCAAATATATGGGAAATGAGAAAATGAGAGAATTGTCGCTTTTAATCACCACTGTCACAACGAAGTGTAGCCGACTTTGTTCAATTCCGTTACATGAAGTGGTTGCTGTTTGTTAGGCAGTTTCTAATCACGTTTCACACATTTATTTGAACCTCACTGGTAAGTAGTTAGGAGGGCAGGATTGATTCTGACGATAAATTTTATAGAATTTAAATAGTTACTCAACAGTGGTCGCACTGTTTTGAACATTACACCCAAGTCACTTCAAGTAAAGTCACTCGAGTCTAGTCAAGAAATTGCTTTAAATACCCTGCATGGGTGAATATTCAGCTACGACACACACGACCCCGACAATGTACCAACAAAAGCAAATCAGTAGCAAAGCAATAAGACAAAGAACGGATAGATAAGGACAAACAACACAATCAAGTTAAAAGTCGACTGGTTAGGTCAAGGATGACAGAGTTGTGGTCTCGCAAAATACGGGAGAAGTAAAGGATGACTGACGAGCGGTAAGCTTGTGTGCGGGCATGGATTAACTTGTACTTCTGCCTAGTAGATGAAGTTGTTAAGCATTCAGGTAAGGGAGTACGTAGGGAATGACTTGTGTCGGTCAGTATATTAGAGGCCAGCTTTTTACAAGAAGTTATGTGTGTACAAATAAGAGTGTTAGTAAAAGTAGATATCGGAACACCGTTACATCGGGCTAACCGCTTTAATGATCTGACAATTAACTTAAAATGCCTACCCAAAAGACCGGGCAAGATCACAGGGGAACCGTACATCCAATAAAGAAGAACGTAAGCATTGACAAAGCGAACGATCAACTCACGGGGAACGCAGGAGGCTCTGAGCCGAGAGGCATAGCATGACAAGTTCTGACTTTTCTGAAAGCTTCATTTAATTAAAGGGTCCAAGATAAATCATCACTCAACGACAAGCCCAGATATTTTACTGATGTGGAAGACTGTAATCCGTCGCCATCAATCTGTAACTTGTTGCACAGTGTAAGGAGCTCCTGGTACCTGGCTCCATTGTGTAAGGAAAAAGAATGTCATGGCATTTTGAAACATTAAGAGACAGATAACGGGATTTGGACCAGCCATTTAGATTGTT